AGGTAATACATTGAAACTAATTTTTTTTTAAACATAATAAAATCCAGTTTTGAAAATATAAAAACATAGCTAAATTATTAAGCGAATGTTTAAAAATCTTGTCCCGGATAAGCCGTCTTGAGAAACGCCTTCATCCGTGCTCGGAAGTCTTCGTTTTCCTTGTCTTTCCTCTCTCGCTCTGCTCTCTTCTCATTGAGTCGCTCGTTCAATCTCTCAATTTCTTCTTCAAGATGCGTAGGGTTGCTTGGTCTAGCTCCGGAAGCCGACCAACCCCGAACTTACGTCTTTTTTTGTTGGAACATGTTATAAAAACAGAAAGAGTTATTAGTTTTTAGAAATTTAGAAATTTAGAAAGAGAAACAACTAAATAAATTAAACACTTACGTTAAGCACGATAAGGTTCATGTCATCGCGGGGTAAGTCCTCGGTGTTTGATCCTGCCTGAGATAGTTGAGTAAGTTGAGTTTGGCGGTCTTCCTCTATCGCTGCGAGGCACTCCTCAACCACCTTATCTTGAGCCATTTTTGTTTTTTTGTTTGTGTGTGTTTCCTTCAACAAGACTCCATAATGCGGTCTCACACCATTATTAGCGATTGTCTACAAAAGATAAAAACATATTTTAAAAATATTTAAATTTAAATGATAAGTTGAAAAGAAAACATATATGAAATAATAAATATTACCATTTCCCGCTCTCGAGTTTCGATCGATTTCGTCCCACCGTTCTGAGTAAAGTGTCCCTTTCTACCTCTTTGGCTCATCCGGTTCTTTGAGTTTGTCGTTGATGTCCCCTTTGTCTCGGGTTTCATCCAATACTGTTTAAGGCCCGTCCAAACATGCGGGGCTAAGTCCGCTGGCTTCTCGTCCGCGTTTTTAATCCACTTTTGTTTCCATTCATGCATATGGCTCTTGTATGAGGCAGTCACTTGGAGGTTGAAACCCTTTCGAACCATGCTAGTTAAATTCTCCTCCCACGTGAAATCTTGCTGAATATATATATAATGACAAGGTTATTAAATTGAACAAATAAAGAAACACATAAATACAAATGGTTTGAAAAATAATACTTACTTTGAAAGCACGTTGCCATTTGTCATTTTCGGTCTGTGGGATCTTAGAAGGCTTCTCATACGGATAGTCGAGTTGAGACTTGAAAATTTGGAGAATGGCCTTACTAATTAACATGTCAGGATCGCATCTAAACCTGAAAAAACAAGAAATAAAAACATCAAAAGCTAACAAATTATGATATTTAGTAAAACATAGTAATCAAATTTGAATTTGTTATGTTTACCATATGTGTCGTCCACCAATCCGAGTAGGATGCAGAGGAGTGCAATGCTCACGTCCAGGCTATTGGAGAAGCTCCTCTAGCGACAATTGGCGGCGGTTAGCGGAATTCTGTGTCTCCGGCACAGATGATGGAGAAGAAGACCTACAAATAAATATGACCTTGAACAAAAATACGTAATTAATAGTAGTTGACAGAAACTTTAGTATAAAGAAAGCCTAAACAAATTTTTTCTTATGTGCAAACACATAAACAAAAAATTAATGTGCAAAACGTTTATACATAACCAAAAACAAAATTTTAAACCATTTTATTAATATACTAAAAATTCAGTCCTAAACTTAAACAAAAAATCTCAAAAGCTTACAAACCTCATTTTAAAACGTTTTATGTACACTAAATCTGTGGAATTTCATAAACAAAAAAATTATGTACATAAAACTCATTCCTAAACTTAAAAACTACAAATCAACTTCCTAAGAATCTCAAAATGATCGAACCTAATTAACACGGTTATCCAACCAAACTCACAAGCCTAACTACAAAGATTTCAATACGAACCTAATTCACAAGTCTAAAACAGAGATTCACTACAAAACCCAAAAATTAACCCCTAAGTCAATGAATAATGCCTATAACAAAATCCCTAAACAAACTATGTGAGAATAATTAGGATAGACGAAGGAAAGTTGACATGGTGATGGGAAGCGTTATATTGCAGATGAAATCAGGAGATAATCGGCGTCGAATCCGGTAAAAATCGCAGAGAAATCGCAGGAAAGAAGTGATGAATTTCGGCCAAATGAGGAATAAAGAGATCTGATTAGGTTTTATTTATGATCAACCGACGGCTCTATCCTAAGAA